CAGCTGCCTGGAGCTGTGTTAGTGGAAGGGGCCCAGGAGCCCCTGCATGAGAACTATGGAACAAAATGGGTCCTTTCTTCCCCTACTCTATGATGGTCCAGGGCTCCTCTGTCCCAGTGTGCTAGCTCCAGACAGCATGGACATCACCCTCTGAGTCCCCCTTCCATACAGGAACCAGGAGCACTTTCATAGAGATTAAATTATTTTCCTGGGGCCCCAGAATAGACAAGAACCCCTAGCATCCAGATCCACTCCTTTGAGAAACCCTGTTTGTACAGTAAAGACTGTTTATACGATCTTTTTCTATCCGCTCCACTCTAGCAGACACAGGCCCCTCTGCCTTCAGCTGCTGATCGCCAGCCGTGGGCTCCTCCCCTAGCACAACTAGGCCATTGCATCCCACTCCAGAGGCAGCAGGGACCCTGGGGACAGGGCTGAAGCACAGCCTTCACCTGTCTGGTTCTCTTTTCTTTTTCAAGTCTCCCTGGCCACACTCCAGCCGCCAGCGGCCACCAGACATGCTCACTGTGCTCCCCGGGGAGCACTCAGTGCAACCCCCAGAGATGCTGATTCTCCAAAGGCAATAAGGGGCAGCTCACCCAGGAAACACAAATTCCCTTTTTCTCCTTCTTTAAAAACAAACAGAAAAGAATATATATATATATTTATTTTTTCATGTAGAGTTGTGCCAGAACAAGTTTGAATGGCCACGATCTGTGGGTTCTCCAACCCCAGGGTCAAGACATGTCCCCATGGGCCGGGGATCAGTGTGAGGACCCGGAGGAATGTGGGGGCAGCAGGTGGGGAGCAGTTGGCAGCATGGATTGAACCCAGAGCCATGGCTAGATGGCCCAGCCCTCAGCCCAGGACCCTTCACCTTCTCTTTGGGCCCATGACCTCTCTGGAAGGGCTCTGAGACCACACACAATAGACACTCCACTCCAGATGTGCCAGACTGGAGGGCAGAAGAGTACCCACGGCTTCCTGTGACCCGCCTCTGGCCCTGGGGAACCCCGGGTTGTGAGGGAGCAGCCTGCCATGTCCTCCACCCACCGTGGAATGGTGGTGGCAGACCTGACGACCCAGTGTCCTCGCGTCCTCAGCCCTGGCCAGCTACTGTGATGTCCTCCTTTCCTGATCCCCTTCCTGAAGGGTTCTCCAGCCCCTCCCCCTGCCCCTCCCCCTTCCCTCCTTTGCTCCCTCCCTCCCTTCATTTATTTCTTTAATATGTCTCCTCGTGTCTTCAGATCATTCAAATCATTTTGGGGACCTAATCATGTACATTGACAATTGTAAATTATAATTTTTGGTTTTGTTCTATTATTTTTGTAAGAATTTCTGCAAAAAAAAAAAACCAACTATTTAATTTGAGGTTGATGTTCCTGTCTGATGGCTAGAGATAGCAGCAGGCTTTTTTCCATGTTGATTTGTTCCATTTGGATTTTTTATCATTCTTTATTGTCTCCCCACCCCCACTCCCCTTTCCCATTCCCATCCCTGTCTTGAGATTTCTGGCATGTTTCAGGAGGTTTCAAAGGAAATAAACGTTTCATAGAAATGGCTGGTGTGCTCTCGCAGGCAGCTGCCCGGAAATCAGCGCGGCTCCCTCCTAAATGCATATCACACCCCTGCTGCACAGCGCAGCTTACCAGCCTTACTGCTCATTCTCAGCATCCAGACAACAGAAATCCGACCCTCAGGATGTACAATTTGTGCTCAAGTTAAAAAAAAAAACAAAACCTAGGTCTGCAGGGTCTGCAGGGTGGACATGGTAACACAAGCCTTTACGCTCGTCATGCAGGAGACAAGGCAAGTGGATCTCTGAGTTCTAAGCCAGCCTGCTCAAAATAGCAAGCTCCAGGCTAGCTAGGGCTACACAGTGAAACCCCAGCTCAGAATGGGGAGGAGGGTAATCTGCTTTTGCCTGGTGTAATGGCTCCCTCTGAAACTGGGGCAGGAGGATCCCTGAGAGTTCAAGACCAGCCTGGACTCCACAGCAAGAGCCCACCTCTCTAGAAGAAAAAACCAGCTGTGTCGGTCACTTTTGTAATCTCAGCTCTTAAAGTGAGGGCATCGGGAATTCTTGGTCATCCTCAGCTACATAGCAAGTTTAAGGCCAGTCTGTGCTGTCCCCACATAAAGTGGTTCTTTAACAAAAAAAAAAAAAAAAAAAATGCTGAGTTAGAAGAGGCTCAGTGGTTAAGAACGCCGTCTACTCTTCCAGAGTACTCCGGATGGCCAGCATTCACATGGCAGTTCATAACTCCAGACCCAAGGGGCCCTATTTCCTCCTGAGGTTTGGGGGGGGGGTGCTGAAAAAGGTAACCTACACCTTTAATTCCAGTCCTTGGCAGGCAGAGACCAGCCTAGTTTACTTAGGGAGTTCCAGGGCAGCCAGGACCATGTAGACGTTGTCTCAAAGCAAACAAAAACACGAGGTTTCAGGTAAAATAAGGGCCATCTTAGTCCACGGGACTCAGACTCGAAAGTGAAGGCTCTACCTCTAAGACCCCACTTGCCGCAAGCCCCACCCCTTCAATCTCCATCTCATTTGTATACTCTGCCCCGCCCATTGTCAATGCATCTCTCCGCTGGGTCACACTACCAACAGTCGGAGTGGATTGTGGAGAGCAGCCCGGACCGCTAGGGGCTAGAGGTAGGAAGAGCACGATCGATCTCCCTCTGCGTCCACAAAGAAGTGTCCCCACAAGGACGTCACTCGTTCACACCCTGCTGAAGCCTCAGCCAGGATCGGGTTCCCTGTGGCCCTCTTGGCTTGGGGCAGCTTAAAACTCGATCTGTGGACATCTGCGAGTGAGCGGGCCACGAGGCAAACTGACTTCAGACCCAGGAATTCCACGGGAAGATCCCAAGGACCCGCCTGCTGTGGGAACGTTGCCTCTCTGGAGAGAACCGTACCCACCCCCCAACTAGCTGTCCTTGGCCTCTTTATGTCTAAGCTCAACTCTGACCCTCCTCTACCCCAAACCCTCACCCCTGCCCCCCAGAAAACGTCTTCTGAAATGCGTTTGCATATATTCAGTGGAGAATCAAGCCCTTCCAGCTACTCAGACATCCTCGCTCTCCACCCTCCTCAGGGCCCCATCCTTCAGCTCTGCCCTCCCCCCACCAACCCGGGCCAAGGGGGGAGGGAACCTGGGAACAAACTGTTCTCACATCCTCTCCTGGCCCGGGAGACACAACACCATCTCCCAACACCCCACCACTCACACGCGCACCCGCACGCGCGCGCCAAGCCCTGATGGCGCCTGCACTGCCTGTCGTCCTTTCCCTTCTTGCCCCAGTTTTCCCTGTCTCCCCCTCCCCCACCTCTACTTAGCCTGCCACTCTGTCTCCGGCCTCTCAGGCTGGCACTCTACAGATTACTGTTGTCCACCCCCCTTTTTTTTTTGTTACGAGAGGCTCACAATGTAGCTCAGGATGACTCACCATCCTCCTGCCTCAGCCTCCAGTCCTGGGACTCTGAACCACTTGGTGTGCTACCATTGCCTTCCAAGCAAAAAACACCATCTACCTCCTCCCTGTCTACTGTCTAGGGGCCTCGCCTGTCCCTCGCCAGAGTGTCTCCTTATTCCATTTGCTTCCTCCTGACTTTGTAAATTTTCTGCTTCTCTCTCCAAAATGCTGTCCACTTAACCTCCCTTGGTCTTGCCAGAGACTGGCTTTTTAATTATTATTATTATTTATTTAAATTCTTGGACTAGTCCTCCATCTTTGTCCCTCTTCCCTCAGAATTCTTGGGAGCTGTCTTCATCTGTGTTATCTCTCCGGCTTTGTCCTTTATTCATTCAGTAAATTTGTGACTTCAGAATCCTCCTTTTTCCTGATCAGTGCCCTGGTTATCCAGGCTCAACCTGCCCCCCCCCCCCCCCCGACACACACACACACAACTGTCTCCTTGAATCCCTGCATTTTGAGATGTCCTCCTGCCCTTCTCCACTTTTAGCCACACCCAGGGCAGGGAATCCCAGGTGACAGCCAGCCATGCTGGGGTGCCATCTCCCCACCCTAGTCTGGGAGGGGGATGCCTTCGGGTCTCTCCGACCCTCCCTTCCCCCCAGCCCTCATTCCCACCTCCCTCTTTGAGCTGCCTCCCGCTGCAGCTGCAGCAGCCCGTTGCTAGGGCAACCACAGCTGGCTGGGTGGGAGCCCCTCCACCCCATCCCCCTCTTCTCTGCAGCAAGACAGGGAGGAGCTGGGACAAAGCCAGAGGGAGGCAGGGTGTAGGGGCAAGAAGGTGGGGGCTGGCCACAGTGGTTTCTTCAACCCCAGTGAGGCCCCGTGGCTCCCCATCTTGGTGACACCCCAAAGGTTAGAGAAGGAGGCAGTCATGGATAGAGGGGTCAGGCCCAGTTTAATACACAGAACAAGTTAATTCACAGCAGAGGCAGGCAATAAAGGAGACTTGGTGGCAAGGGGGGCACTCCTGGATTGGGGGTAGACTCCCCCAGACCCTCTACCTCCCCCACTTGCAGTCTCAATTTCCCTTTTTAAAACCCGAACAACAAACACACACAACCACAAGAAACAACCACACCCCCTCGCCACCCCCAAAATGGCTAGCGGGGGGGGGGGGGGCAGGAGGCAGCCCGGCCTGGCCGGGTAGGGAAGGGGCTGAGAAGAGAGGAAAAAAAATGAGTCCATTGCAATCTGTGCTTCTCACTGCAGCGGGCTGGCTGGCTGCCTGCCTCGCCCCACTGGCCTCCCCAGCTGCATGCCCCAGGCCTGGCAGGCACCGGGTGGGCGCAGGGTGGGGCTGTCAAGGAGGGCAGGAAGAGTTCAGAACCATGGTTCACATCATGCAGTATCCACGATGGGTACTGGGGAGGGCAGTGGGTGGGCACCATGCCCACCTGGCCTGGATGTGAGGAAGGAATGGTACCCACCTCAGATGGGGAGGTGCCATTGGGGAACCTGGTAAAGTTGGTACCCAACAGACACTTGACTGTGTCCTCCACCAGACAGGCTTTATAGGACTCTTTGTATATATTAATTTCTTTTTTTTTTTTTTTTCTTTTTTTTTTAACTTTTTGTCTTTTTCTCTAGAAAAAGGTTCTTTAAGTGCCCCAGCTGGCATCCACTACCCCCCTGTGCCCGCCCAGAGGCGGGGTATGGCTTTGAGGGGAGCAGAAGCCCCTGGTGCACATTTGCCAAGGGATGGAGAGGGGGGGCAGGAGGAGCCCTACGGGACCCACCCACCCACAAGGTAACATTCCACTTGCAGAGGGAGAACGCCTTGGCTCCCTCTGGGATTCACCCTCTCCCTCCCACTGGGAACACCGGGTGGGAAGAGCTAGGAGCTCCTCGAGGCAGGAAAGTTAGCACCACCCAAAGGTCCTGGGGAAGCAGAGCCAGGCCTAAGTGAGGGTGATGTAGGCAGAAGCCTTCTCTTTCAAATGCCGAAGACAGAGGTGGCAACTCCAGCTCCCTGCGGGGGAAGCCACAAGACAAAATTAGACTCAAACCAAAGGGCGCCCCCCACCTGTCCCCACCCAGAGCACATGGTCTCTGCCACCAGGAAGACAGCGTTCCAACCCACCCACCCATGTCTCGCCCACCTCTTCCCTCACCTTCCGGGGGCTCCGCCATGGGAGGGCTTAGGCAGTACATGTGGTAGCCCCGATCGCAGTCATCACAGAACAGCAACTGGTCCTGGGGGGTGAGACCCGCCCAGCTGGCACCCTGGGGGCATGGGCACCAGAAACCGGGGTGGGGGGCTGGGGCAGGGGCTAGGTCCCAGGGGCCCTTCTGAGAGAGCTGGCTCTGCAGTCTGTACTGCTTGTCGACTCACAGAGCATCGTCTGGATTTTCTAAGGAATACTGGATGATGTTCAGCTGGCCCAGTACCAGCTCAGGACCAGTGATAGGTTCAAATCCTGGCTCTACCATTTTCTCAGCTTGGTTGACCTCAGGCATGGTTCTCCCTCCCTGAGCTCAGCGTCTTCTATGTGTAGTGGGGACAAGAGCACCAGCCTCAAGGGAGGTCGGGAGGTGTCAGAGGGGGACAACAGCAACGCATGCTACCGCAGGTCACCCAGGGCTTATAAACAAGGAAGGCTTTGGGCTTCGTGGGCAAAAGCAGCAGAGCCAGGCTGGAAGGGCAGCGGAGATGTGCCCAGGAGCTGGGGCAAGTACTCACGTCATTCTCTGAGGTACCACACAGACTGCAGGACTTGCACTCGATGCACTGCCAGCGGTAGGTCCGCACAGCTGCGGTCATGTTCACCGTGAACTGTAAACACGAGGGATGCCCTGGGGAGGGGACCGGAGGGCAGGGATGCAGTTAGCATGTCATTGTAGCTACTGGTGGCTACTGACCCCTGGGGAGGTGATGGCCCTATCCCCACCCCGGACTCAGAGGTCAAGATGAGCTTTGTGGTGGGACCCTACCCCCAAGATAGGCATCCGGAAACTGGGACTGCCGGCAAGCAGCTGTGTGTTGGCCACCACAGTCTCCTACTCAAGCCACCATGACAACCACACTCTCTCCCCGGAATACCATGGCAACCGCATTCCATTACCCACAGTGCTGTGGCAACCACGTTCTACCACCCACAACACTGTGGCAACCACAGTCTGTTAAGCACCACACTAGGCAGCCACATTCCTCCAATACCCACAGCAGAGCGGCCAGCTCTCATGCTAACCCCAGCAACGTGGCAGGCGCCTTCTCCCAGCCAGGATACTATAGCAACCGCTTCCACAACAGGGTCCCCACACCTCGCTTTCGTGAAACCAAAGGCCACACCACACAAACTGCCACCGACAATCCTGGCAGTGTTAGTCTGTTTGGTCATTCTCCCACACCAGCACAGAGACACCTGGAGCCATGGGGCACAGCACTTCCCACGATGTCCAGCACCCACAGCCACTGTCCACAGAGCCCGATGACAGTTACAGCTCTCTCCCACAGAGCCAAACACCAACAGCCCACACAACCTGACAGCCACAGCTACTGCCCACAGTGCCCAGATACCAACTGCCCCAGCACTGGGTACCCACAGCCACTACCTAGTCCGCCATGCCATAACAACCACATTTCGTTGTATTAAGTTGCCAAGACAACCCATACTGCAACAACCACAACCCATTCCCTGCGCTGCTGAGCGACCAGTCTTACTACCCAAGAGGCCTCCATGCAAACCCACATTCTATTAACTACAGTTCTATCTTGTTTTCTACAGCACCCAGGTGGTGTGATTCATTACTCCCATACCTTGGTCCCCTACCCACAATGCCTCTGTAGCTTTTCTCTATTCTCCATGCCAGGAAGGCACAAAACCATGGTACCTCATACTATTCCTACATTGAGCCCGCTCAGTTTCTCATAGTCCTCAGCAACAGGACAGCGCCTAGGCTCCACCAAACCACTGTCCCCCCAACCTGCCCTAGACAGGCTGGATACAATCTTCACTCCCTTGCTTCCCATTCCCCAGATATGGATCCTGGGATGTCCCCTCCCCTCTGAGAGTGTCACCTGATCGCCCACAATCTGCACAGGAGATGAGGTCCTCAGGACAGCCAGTCTTCTTGGAGCCCCCCAGGCAAAAGTCACAGTAGCCATTGGGGATGACAGTGCCGTCTGGTGCTTTCTTGGCTGAAAGACAGCAGGCAGCGGTGGGCACAGGACAGGTGGGGCACCCCAAAGACTGCTGCAAAAGTCGGGGTGGAGGGAGGTGTCCCTACCTGTGTGTTTCCTCTGTGCCTCGGGGACCCAGGCCAATTCTTTGTAAAACTCTGGGGGTGGGAGGACAGAAAGGGGCTCTTACCATAGGCAAGGTCCCATCTGTCCCCAGCCACAGCCCCAGGGGTGGACCCTTGGCCCAGGCACTGGGAAGTAGCAAAATAAAAGCTGGGGGAGGGGCAAATAATTCTCACCAAAATTCGAGTCTTGAGATAACTAAATGTTCTCTTTATTTTAGATCGTTGGGTAAAGGTGTGGGAATAGTTACAGCCTTTGCCAGGACTGCCACCCCATCGCACGTGCGCACCCCAAAGTCAGCTTGCCTAGGTCAATAGTTAGCAGGCAGTTCTGCCAGACCTGGTATGAATACCTATTCAGGAAGACACTTTCAAAGGACAGGAGGTTCTGGACCTGGCCTGAGGCTGCTGAGGAGCTCCCTGTGAGGGACAGGTGAGAGACAGCTCCCTTCCCCCACAGCTCAGCTGTCAAGGCATGGAACGGATGTGGGTGGGTATCGAGGACCCTGGGGGCCACTGACCTTGCCCCTGGACACTAGCATAGCTGAGAAGGGAACAAGGGAGGCCCAGAGAGGGAGGGGAGTCCTCGATCACCCCCACCTCCAAGCTCTAATTGAAACAATAAATCAGACCCAGAAATATTATGCCCGGGCAGGGAGTGAGGGAGAGAGAGAGAAAGAAAAAGAGAGAGAGAGAGAGAGAGAGAGAGAGAGAGAGAGAGAGAGATGGTTGGTTGTCATGGCAACCCCAGAGCCAGCATCCCTATGGTCGGTGGGGGAGGGAACCGTTAAGCTGGAGATTTTCCAGAAATGTTTAATGTGCCTCCACCTCCCCTTCCCCAGCTACTACCAGGTTCCACTGCCTCTACCCCACCCCTGGGCATCTCACCCACCAGCCCTGACCCTCCAACTCACGTTTATGGTTGTTTTTCCGATGGAAAGGCAGGGCGTGGCGCTCAGTGTGCTCCTCCCCCTCCTCCTCAGCCAGGTGGGTGTGGGTGTAGTGGTAGCTGAGCCCTGGACGGTTTTTATACCTCTTCCCACAGACTGAAGGGTGAAAGGGTGGGTAGTAGTCAGACTCCAGGGCCACCTCCTCCAGCCTGGCCTCCAGGATCACACCATTCCCACTCTTTCCCCAGGACCCAGGACCAGAACAAGGGCCATAATATGTGAGGTCACCAGGCCCCATACTCCCTCTCCTTCCCTTCTGCAGAACTCACTATCACAGACGTACGGCTTGTCTCGGTCCTCCAGGGAAGCGGTGTCCTGGCGTTTCCTAAGACCTCCAATACCATATGCCTGGGGGGAGGAGGGTTAGGAGTAAGGAGCCCAGAAAACCAGGGAAAGGTTCATCATTCTTGGGGTTTCTGAGTTTGGTTGCTTGGTTGTTGTTGCTGTTGTTTGAAACAGGGTCTCACTACGTAGCTCTGGCTGGCCTGGAACTTACTATGTAGAAGGGGCTGGCCATGCACTGACCCTCCTGTCTCTGGATTACAGGCATGCGCTACCATGTTTTTACTGGACTTCTTCATTTAGACTTGAAAGTCAAACTGAAAAAAAAATTTAATTTTTCTTTTCAGTCCTGGGGCCATGGCTCAGTAACAGAGCAGGTGTCATGTGAATCTGAGCCTCTGGCTTCTATCCCAACACCACGCAACAGTAATTAAATCTCCACGTGAAACTGGGCAAACTTTTTAGCTATAAGCCTTTGAACTTCTCTCAGTACAACCATGGAGATAATTCTTTTTGTTGTTGCTGTTTGGAGACAGGGTTCCTGGCTGTCCTGGAACTCACTATATAGATCAGGCTGGCCTTGAACTCACAGAGATCCTCTCGCCTCAGTCTCTCAAATGCTAAGATTAAAGGTGTGTTCTAACACTTTTTTATTATTTTTACTGGAATTTTTAGTTTTGTTATGTTTGACACAGGGTTTCTCTGTGTAGCCCTGGCTGGCCTGGAACTTGCTCTATAGACCAGGCTGACCTTGAACTTAGAAATCTACCTGCCTCTGCCTAGTGCTAGGATTAAGGCCATCAAGCAGAAGGTTTTTGTTTGTTTTATGTATGTGTGTGTGTGTGTGTGTGTGTGCAAGTGTGCGTGTGTGTATGCGTGCGTGTGTGCATGCGCGTGTGTGCACATGTGTGCATGTAGGTGTTGTTTGGGTGGTTTGGTTAAGGATTTTTTATTTGTTTTTTTGCACGGGGTCTTTTTATGTAGTTCAGAATAGTCTAGAATTCACTTATCTCAAACTTAAGGCAATCCTCCTGCCTCAGCCTCCTGGGTGCTGGGACTCTAAGTGTGGAGCACCACACCCAGCTCTGCAGACAGTCCTGATCCACAGCACAAACTTCATTTTTCTTTTCTTTTCTTTTTTTCAAATGTTTTTAATCCACTGACTCTGGACTTCCCCATCCATCAACATGGGCATAAAATCTGCTACTCCTACATACAGCTCTGGGGAGGAGGTGGTGGGGAGAAGCTTCCGGAAGATACCTTTCCTTTGGCCCTGTTCTTCCTCCTGGGAATGTCTTCCTCCACGTCTTCTACCTCGAGCTCATGCGGAAACCCCAGCAGCTGCTGTTTCTGGGCCCAGTAGAAGGGAGATTGGGGGGTCAAGAAGGTGGGGGCACGGGTGTGCTGCAGGTGGGGCAGGAGAGCAAGTCGAGGAGCCTTCGGGGAGGATGGAGACGCAGGGGACCCAGAGGCCCTATGGAGCCAGGTGCTTCAGAGCGGACCTGCAGCCGGGGTGGGGGCTCCTACCTGACAGTCCATAATGGTCTCCTCTTCCTTCAGCTCGACCTTCTTCTCTCCTGTCTCAGCACACAGCAGAGCCTCGAGGACCGGCCCTTCCGGAAGGCCACCCTCCTTCTTCAAGGGCACCTCACAATCTGGGGACAGTCCACAGGAAAAGTGGTGTCCATTGAGGAGGCTGTGACCACAGTGCCCAGGTTGGTGGGGGGCGGACATGGTCCTTATGCAGGGACAGGCTCTCCCATACTCAGTCAACAAGGACACAAAGATTCAACTTCAGGCCCTGGAAGTGTGCCCAGACCCTAGGGAGACTCGGCCACACCTTAGCTCTACTGACTAAAAAAGACAAGGCCAGAACACTGAATAAACCCAGAAACCCTCAGGAACAATCCAGACCCTCAGAACCACCTGTGAAAAAGACAAGGCCAGAACACTGAATACACCCAGAAACCCTCAGGAACAATCCAGATCCTCAGAACCACCTGTGAAAGCCCGTCAGCCCCTCAGCCTCACCCAGAAAATCAGACATGTGAATAGGAAACACACAGACATGAAAGCGGGACATGCGGATAGGTGGGTAACACACGAGACCTTTGAGTACAGCTAGACACACAGAAGACACACAATTAAGCCCTGGGATACAGACGAACTCAGAAGGAGATGGCAGAGTCACAGAGAAATCTGGACCCACATTAAGTAGGAAGACCCAGGCAGGCCCTATGATACACCTGGACACTCAAAGACACCCCCAGGGAGAAACACTCAAGTGTGCTCACACATGTAAATAGAGAAACACAGGCAGTCCTCTTGACAGGCTGACACACAGAAAGACATGGCCAGTCAGCACTCCCATATTCCTGTTACAAGCAGACCTTCACACATTGAGGGGGAGGATCGGGGGGGGGGGGGGTTTCAGGAACCAGTGTCTGGCTTTCCTGAACACACTGGAAAAGCACTAACCTAGTCAGTCTATGAACTAGCACACACCTCAAGAAACACCTAACAGAAATAAGCTGAAAGTCTCCCACAGCAACTCCACAGCATCAGGATTGCAGCAGGACGCTCTGATGGAACCATATATACCCCCAGAAGAGTTAGATATGCCCAGACCCACCACACACACACATCAAACACACACCTTCTGACACATACCCTCACTTGGAAACACCTAGACAGAAACAAGCATTCTAATACATTCAGCAGTAGAGTTACAGTTAGACAATGATTCTTAACTTTCCTAATGCTGTCACCTTTAATGCAAGTCCTCATGTTGTAGTGACCCCCAACCATAAAATTATTTCATAACTACTTAATTACTGTAATTTCGCTACTGTTATGAATCGTGATATAAATATCTGATATACAGGATACCTGATATGCGACCCTTTCAGGGTCCCAACTCACAAGTTGAGGAACACTGCTAACTCATTCAAACACACAGGGAGATAGCCAGATGCCCTCCAGCACCCACAGAAAGAAACACAGCCGGACGTGGGTGTATCCCAGCTCACTGGGGAGCAGATAGAGTCAGACTTGATACATCTAGACACAGATAATGCAGTGTCCTCCATACACCTGCCCGACCATGACCCACATAGCAGGTATGGCTGGAAGCTCAGGAACTCAAAGGAAGTAACTCAAGACATCTGAAAGGGGGGCAGATAGCCTGCTGTGGAGATACTTGGAGGGGGGGCTATGTTCGGACTGGCACCAGTGGGGCTGAGGACCTTGATGGGGGCCACACAGGTCCAAGGGACACAGCTGCACCCACCAATCTTGTACTCGCAGGGCCGCAGCCTGGGGTCCTCCAGGATGTTGAGCCTCCGTTTCTTCCTCCAACAGCGGGCAGGATAAGTGTAGATCTGTCCCGGGGCCAAACCTGGAGGAGAGAGTCTGTGAGCTTAAGGTCCCGGGACGCAGGCCCCGCCCCGCCCCAGCCTCGCGGCGGGTACCAGGCCCGCGGTGGGTCTTCTCCATCCAGATGTAGCAGTTGTTCTGGGCCACACCGGTCTGCGAGTCGAGGAAGGGCAGACGCAGGCTGCGCTCGGCGCACAGGCGCGCGTTATAGCTGCGGCAGTGCTCGATGGCCTCACGGTAGAAGTCCTCGCCGAGGCTGCGGGGGCGAGCGAGCAGCGGGCGGGCAACTGTCAGCAAGGGCTGGCGCGGGGAGGCCCAGCACCCTCCTCCTGGTTGCCCGTTCCCACTGGTCCGCAAAGGGTAGGCCAGCCAGGTTCACCTTCACCTCCCCCCTCCACCCATCACTCCGGACCCGGGGGCGGGGCAGGGGGCTGCCAGGGAGGCAACTACCTGGAACTTGATTATATGTCTCAGGTTAAGAAGTCTTCACAGACAACACAGAAACAGATCGAAACACACCGGGACCCATCCACGCATGAACGTAGTCAAACACCCAAAACAAACAAATCGCACATGGCCACACGGGATTCACACACAAAGAGAAACATATTCCAATATTCACAAAGGAGAAGCAAACAAATTCTCTCCCTCCCTCCGTCTCTCTCTCTCTCTCTCTCTCTCTCTGTCTCTCTCTCTCTCTCTCTCTCACACACACACACACACACACACATCTCTTGCAGAACACAAATATTCCAAGTCAGAAACAGACCATAGAACTACCTATGCACGTCATGTATCCAAAGACCACAAGATAAACAAATTAACCACAAAGACTCCACAACATAGAAACATACTATACGTACATATCGCAATAGTCACAGTGTCCAAAGACAGGGACTCGAGAAACATTTACACATGCGCTTACACATCTATCCAAAGACACTATGTCAAACACACAATACAAAGAAATCTCAGAGATTTACACAGGTACACATACACACATTCACACTCTGGCAAAACAGAAACCCAAATTTAAAATACATTCCAAACACAGATACACGCCTTGGAAACAGAGGGACAGTCAGGTCTGCCCGTGTTCACACAAAAATTTAGACATATCCGCACATCTCCCTAGCCAAAGACACAGAGCATAAATGGAGCAGTTCCACCAGACATGTGCACGCACTCAGAGCCCAAATAGTCAGATAGGTAGCGCAGAATAAAAGAAATCATATACATACCCACACATTCAACCAGAAAACAAAAAGCAATGCACAAGTCGCGCAACACACTCCACACCCCAAGACAAAGGTAGCGTGGATTCGACTCGAGTGTACTCAGGTCCCAGCTTCCCTAAGCCATTTACCCTCTTTCAAACCCTGGCATCCCTGGGAGGGGACATGACCCCCTTCCCCTAAAACGCCTGGGAGACCCCTCCCCCACATCCTCCACCCGTCCAGGAGCAACGCGTCGGACATCATTCTTGCCAGACACCCACAGTCACACACGCTCGCACCCCCGCACACTGTGACAGCCCCCTGACACCCCACCGGCCCCACCCCCAGCGGCCACACACATACACAGACACACGCGCGCGCGCGGCCGCGTAGACCCGCCCGCGCGAACTCCCCCGCCTCGCGCCCGCCCGCACCACCTCAGGGGGCCGGGGATGACCGTGGCCATCTTGCTCCCCGGGTCCTGCCCCCAGCAGGTCCCTGCCGGGTCGGTCCTCCCAGCGGTCGGGCGGGCGCTGAGGCCGCCCATCCATTCATTCCCGGGGGGCGGGAGCACGCGGATCTTGGCCAATCAGGACGGCGGGGCGGGCCGCCCAGGCCATGCCGGGAGTAGTAGTCCCTGGCGGGTCCTCAGCCCCAAAGGGGATGGAGGATCTCGCAGCCGTTCACACACGCTCACTCACACGCACTCCCCAGTCCCACGTGCACAGACGCATGCACGCATACACGCGCACATGGCAACTTACAACACAGTCACACTACACTCGCAGACTCCTACACAGCCCGCTCACACACCTTCACGCACGCCCAGCCGCAGGCGCGCAGACCTCGCAGGTGCCCACCCAGCAGTGTCACCAGCATGCCGGCGTAGACGCTACCTCTCCCACCAGGCCGTCCAAACTCTAGAGAACCCATCGTATCCCAGGGCTGACTCTCGCAGTCAACCCGGTCCACTCCGCAGGGCTACAGGACTGCCGTCATTCTTCCAGAGCTCAAATCCTCGCTGATAGGACTTCAGGCATATGACTTAACCTTTCTGGGCCTGCTTCCTCCTTTAGAAAATAGTTATAATGCCTCGTCGGACTGAAGAGTAGATGAGTAACAGGGTAAGTGGCTGTTTTAGTGACGATCTTGCTGTTCAGCCTAAGCTGGTCTCAAACTACAATTCTACCTCTGCCTCCCAAAGGTGTATGACACCACACCAGCTGCTGTAGTGTTTTCCAAGATACACAGCAGGGCTTGGGGTTCGGTTCTGGTAAAAAGAAAGTATTTGAGAGTCCATGGGTTCAACCACAGTCCCAGATGAGAAAATAGTGCCTGGCAGGTACTAACCTATTCACTTACTCCACAGAGAAGTTATCTACAAAGAGGATCTGATAGGAACCAAGGCACAGAATGGTGACGCTGTTACTGATAATGCTGAGTAGTACTTAATGCCCACCATGTGCTTAGCATGGTTCTCTCCAGCCTAAACTAGTACCCACCATGTGCTTAGCACGGCTCTCTCCAGCCTAAACTAGTACCCACCATGTGCTTAGTACAGCTCTCCCCAGGCTAAACTAGTACTATCCTTATTTCTCAGACAAGGACTTTGGGGTCTTGAGGAGAAACTTTGTGTGTTCTCTGCCCCTGTCTGATGGTAATCATGAAAGATTCATTCCCCTAGCCATCCATCCCCATGGGAGTCTTGCCTCTTTTCCTCTCCCACTGTCACCCACAGGCACTACCCCAACAGAGCCCCAGAGAATGAGCTGACCTACTGAGTCTCTCTCTCTCTCTCTCTCTCTCTCTCTCTCTCTCTCCCTTTTTCTCTCTCTCTCTTTCACACACACACACACACACACACACACACACACAAAACCCCACCCTCTGGGGAATAACAGCATTCTGATTTGAGTGGCTGCATAAATTAGCATATCAAGTGTTAATACAAATAAACCCTTGTCCAGCAGAGGGTGTTCCACCCATCCATAAAAGATTCAAGATTCCTGAACTATACACACCTCTAAAGTTAGCTCCCTTCCACAAACGTCCCCATCTACCGCGGGGCCACCTAAGTCATCAAGGCCTTGACCCATCCCTTCCCCAGCATTGATTGGGCGTCCAATTCACTTTCTGCCCAAAATTAAATAAGGAGTGCTGGCACCCCCTCACTCAGCCTCCTCTCCAGACCCCAGTAGTGTCCACCCACCTTGCCATGATGTGCCCTGTCGTTCAGCTCAGAGGGTCCCTGTCACCTTTCACCTCCCCACCACCAGATCCCCGGCACACCCTCCCCAACCTGTTCCACACCTCTGCCTTTGTCGCGCCCACACACTCTCGAGTGTAGCTGGTGTCCTGTCACCTCAGAAGTCCCAGCTACCCCTAGCAAAGGGCCTGGCTCCCTTTCTCTTGCCCATCACCATAAGAACCTCTCCACACACTCTGCTCCAAACTTGGCCTCTCAGTTGTCCAAGCAATGCCCCGTTCCAGAGTCCAGCGCCCTGTGTTATAACATTAATCACTATTTACACTCGTAGTAAGAATCAAAACTTTGGGTCAGGCTAAGGCCCTGTGCAAAGTGCTTGAGAACAACGGCCTTCCTGGCGACATCCTGAGGCTCAGCTACGCAATGCTAGCACTCAGAGAGCTGAGGAGGTTGACGGCAGTCTGTACTAGAGCGTTTTTAAGAGTTTGTCTTAGAAGCAGAGCAAAACAAAACCCCACACAACTAAAAAGTCTGGCATGGTGACACACAACTAAAAAGTCGAAGCCCTGCGAAGATCAAGTCTCTAACTCAACACCTCGATGAGCCTCACTGCCGCCCCCATGAGGTAATACAAACAGTTATGCGGCCCAACCCACACTTGGTAACACTGAGGCCCAGAGCAGGAAACCAATGACATCCAGCCAAGTGTGAATTCAGGCAGGAAGAACTAGAGCTGGTGCCAAAGGGCTCTCTTTTCCGAGGGGATTTGGCTCTAGCCCTAGCTGGCCTAGAGCTCACTATATAAACCAGGCTGGCAGAGATCCACCTGCGTCTGCCTCCCTAGTGCAGGGATTAAAGGCGTGTGCCACCACGACCTGTGGCTCTGGCATTCCTTAGGGACGAGTGCGTCCCACTTCCAGCCCAATAGGCCCTTTGGAAGGTAACCAGAAGAGACCCGCGCCAATCCCCTCCGACTGTCCTCTATACTCCTGCAGAGTGCACACCAAGCACACTTCCTCCGACGTGTTTGCAGACCCACCAACCCAGTATACATGAATTTCAGGCTGTCCCTCCAAAAGACGGAGACCTCTGTGTGTGTGACTAAGAGTCAGAGGGAAGCACAATATGTTACCATCGCCCACCCCCTCACACTGACCCAGGTACCAGACGGTCTCCCTTGTAGGCGCGTACCTGTAAATCCCTGCCCCCTATTTTCTCACCACCACCCCCCATCCCAGAAACCAGAAGCAACTGGGAAAGGGTTTTGGTTCAAAGAACCCTTCTGTAGGTGAATGGGGGGCGGGGCGCACGCTCCCAGTCACCCCAACGCTCCAGGCTCAAGGTCAAGTCTATAAGTACAGGGGGTGGAGAAATGGGGGGGAGGTAGCCCCGGCCCCTTTGTGCGGCGCCGCGGGCGCTCGTCCTCCGCCTCCTCCGCCCGGTCGGGAGCGGGGGAGGGGAGTGTCGCTCTCCTGCAGGGAGAGAGGGCGGGAGCAGCCACGCTCCTGTCACTCGCAGCCGGCTGTCACCGCCAGGGAAATGGGGGTGGTGGTGGAGAGCTCTGGGACCTCGGGGTCCGGGATCCCGAGGAAGGACCAAGAGAGGGAGATATAAAAAGGAGAAGGCGGCGTCGGGTGGCAAAGAGCTAGGAAGGACGGGGAGGGGTAGCCTCCGACCCAGGCGTCCGGGTTCCCAGACACCGGGCCCAGCAGGAGGCCAGCGCTCAGCGGAGAGTAGCGACAGGCCGAAAGGGAGGGAATTCCCGGAGAGGGAGGCGCTCTTAGCACCGGCTCCCGAGGCACCGATCCTCAAGGGGATGGGAGGTGCTCGCGTTAGATGGGTATGGGCGGGGAGAAGGAGGGTTGCCACAGTCCGAACCGACCGAGACGTCGGGACTTCTAGGTCTTGGAGACCCGAGAGCAAAGAGAGGAGACAGCAAGGACTCAAACGGGGATGGTCTCAGCTCCCACTGTGCAGCCTCAGGGTTCCGGGAGAAAGACCCGACAAGAGGATGGTGCTTTGATGAGGGAAATGGGTGGTGAGATACATGAGGATCCAGGTCCGTACTTAGAGGTTGGTACCTCCCACCCGCCCGGGGCAGTCGTGCACCCCCCTCAGACGCCGAGGAGCAGAGATGGAGTAGGCGAGCGAAGCCCCTACCCCCACTCTGGGTGGGGACACGGCCTCCGCCACCCCCTAGTCCGCGCCACATTCCTTCACTGACAGCGACAAAGAAGAGGAGCCCTCGCGACCCAGAAGGGCTCCCATACCTAACCCCAAGGGGCAACAGGGGGCGGAAGGTTCGCAGGGGAGTGGGGACAAACAGGGGGTCCCCGAGTACCATCCATACATCCACGCGCTGCGTCCCCCACCCCAGCCCCGGGGAGTGCCGGGGGAGGACCAGCTCCTGGGGGAGGGATTCCAGACTTGGGGAGGGA